AGCTGTTTTCCTGAAGATTTCCTTTACCAGAATTCATTAATTATCTTTTTAAATTGCCTATAGCTGTTTCTTGTTACCTAAATATTGTTTTTCGTTTTGTTGCATCCTAGTCTTAATGAATGCAGTAAGTGATTAATATTACTAAACAAACCATTACAGATCTTAAGAGTTTTCTTCTGTCCCTTGAATGATACTGGTTTCCTGTGAGTTCTTTTATTCTTCCATTTTGTTCTCTCTCATAGTGGAGTCTTTCCTTCAGTATCTTCTGATCTTAGCTATCTGTTCTTGTTTAACAACTGGAAGCTCTATGCAGAGACTGAACCTATCACAGGTAGGCTTTACCCTTGGTTGAGAGGGTAGCAAGGTGGTTTTCTTCTGTGTGATGCCCAAATGTCATTATATGTCTTTTCTCTTGGACCAGTGTCAATATTCTACTTAGGAACTATAAGCTTGACTACTAATATTGTATGAGTTGAAAAGAATCTTCAGTTTCCCCTGGGCTGGGCCAGCTCTGGGCACAGAGTCACTGTTTCTCCCAAGAGGCTCATATTCTCTTCATGCTACCCACAGTGATAATTGACCAGTGCAAGATTTTAGGGTTCAATCTACTTGAATGTTCTAGTGTGCATAATCTCAATAATAACCTTGTTTATTTTTCCAAGACACTCAACTTCTCAGTATTTTCTGCCTTTAGGCATGGGGCACTGCTACCTTTTAGAGCAATGCTCAGCAAATTAGCTTATGCCCTGGTTTCTTTCTATAAGCACTTTGTTTTTCAGAGGTAACTCAGATTTGGGGATTCATTGAAGGTTTTCCTTTTTTGTTTTCAAGGTGGATACAGATCTTTAAAAATATATTTTCTTTCATGTCTAGAGATTTGCTGTAAGAGGCAAGAACTGGACCCTTAGCTTTCCTTATTCTGTTCAGTTTAAAACTGAAGCTGAAAATTTAACCCTTTTCATTACCTGCAATTCCCTTTGGATTACTTATCTATGCTTTTGTCCATTTTCATGTCAGTATATCAATATCATCAGACTCTATAGTAGTATCAGTATTGAGCTTCTATATTTCTATTTGTTGAAAATATTTTTCAGAGTCATTCCCTTTTTTAAAGCTTATTTATTTATTTTTGAGGTGGTGGGGGAGAGAGAGAGGGAGAGAAAATTCCAAGCAGGCTCCATACTGTCAGCACAGAGCCTGATGTGGGGCTTGATCTCACAAACCACGAGATCATGACCTGAGCTGAAATCAAGGGTCAGATGCTAACTGACTGAGCCACCCAAGTGCCCCAGTGTCATCATTCCCTTTTTATTTTAGTTATCTTATTTTCATGGTGATGAAATTTCACATCTTGACATAATCAATTTTGTCAATATTTTCCTTTGTAGAAAGATATTTTGCAAATGGCTGATAAATTCACAGTTGTGAATAAACTTTAAATGTTTATCTTACTTATCTTGAATTTTCTTGTCAAATATGAATCTATTCCCCCTTAAAATTTCAAATTGTTAAGTAGTTAGTTGATATTAATTGCTTAAAATTTCAATGATTTTTGCTTTATTATCATGTATTAAATTTATTTATAAAATGCTGTATTTTTGTTGATACATTTTTCTATTTCATGCCCATATTCATTATATATTTAATCATTTCTATTTTTAATAATTCATTGGCCAATCTCACTTCATTTTCTTCTTTTTTTCAATTTAACAGTTTTCCATTTATATAGTACACAACTTTGTGAGCTAAGTTGTAAAAATCAAAAGATGAATAGGATTTTCACTTGTCTTCAAGGAGGACACAGTCTTGGAGGGTAGAATCAGTCCATACTAGAAGTTCCAAGAAGACTCCTTTGAAAGCTTAACTTGGAAGGAAGGAATGAATAATTTTTAGAAGGAGAAGTCTGAGTCTTGATGCTTAAGCAGAACTTCACCAAGGCAATGAATGGATGAGCCAAAAGGAAACTGTCATTGTAAAAAATGAGGACAGGTGCACGTACAAGGATGGCTGGAGCATAGGGTGAGGGTATAGAGAGAATCTGAGTATGAGGCTGGAAAGATAAGCTGGAGCACTACTCTTTATAATTCTAGTTGCATTTTTTAATGTTAGTAAAATTCAAGCCACCCTTATTAAGCTCTTGATCAGGATAGCATTAAATATATTAGGTGTACCATAAATAAGTATTGAGTTGAATTAAGTTCTTAGATAATGTCATTTGTGGAAGAATGGGGCAGGTAAAAATAATAAAATGGTACATGTAGGCTGGTTCTTTAACATTGACAAAAAATTAAGCCTATAGTAAATTCAAGATGTGTGTTCTTTTTCAAAGTTAAAACTCAAGGAAGACTGCCCTCTTCAAGAATAATCAGTCAGCTTTAAGGCAGGGAACACAAAATCAATTTCCCTGATTTTATTGGAGCTGTCTGTAATTCTCATTAGTGTGTAGTCCACTACAAAGATAGGGATAAGTTCTATTAGCCAGCAGAGTGATGTGGAATAGGACCCATTCTGCACAGCAATAAGGAGGAAATGGAAGCAAGAAAGGGAACCGATAGAAGTAGACTAATTGCTCTAGAATGTTGATATGGTGAAATGAAAATCTAGAATCTAGCTTGGGAACCAGTACAAGCATATGGCGAAGTGTCTCATACTAAGTTCTAACCATGTTTAGAAGATAGAAGGGAATAATTCAGTGGAGACAGAAAGATTAAATGTTTTAAAGAGGGGAGATCCACTTTAGAACATGAGTTCTTTAGAAAGTATGAAACGGTTTGTCCCAAGACACAGAAAGGAAGAGGGAGCTCTTCTCCCTGTTAGAATTGCAATAAGGATAAAATTAGAAGATGTAAAGAAAGACATGTTGAAGATAGATGCAGAGAGCCAGACAGCTTACCCGGATGGCTTTGGTCTAAGTCTATCCACAGGACACCTGCATCAGAATCACCAGGGAGTGAGCATCCTGGGTCACTCTCATCAGAATTACTAAGCACAACTTAGTAGAGTTGGGAGGGAGGAATTTGTGTTGGTCAGGCTGGTCCAGCTCCAGAATATGTTTAAATGTGCTTCCATGGTTTCTTCTAGGATAGAGTGATTGCACTTACAAACCCTGTTACCTCTTTTCTGTTTGTCAGGGCCTAGACAAATTTGCTAAAACAGGCTGCTGAATCAAGGACATGAGGAAAACTTGGGCAATTTTCCTCCTTTGGGAAAATTGCTTAAGGAATACTCCTTTCTTGGCAGGCAGAGTTAATGACACTGATTGCACATAAAATCCTGTGGATTTATTTACTCAGAATTTTAATTTCACGTGTTTATGATGAAGCCTGCTAACATGTTATGGTTCCATTCTATTCTTAGATGCTTCTGCTCTACCTGCACATAACGTGAGATGGGTGACTGCCCTGTGTGAAAGAAAACAAAAGTGGCAAGACCCTAGTGTAGTTCATTGTCTTTTTTCTCTTTTTATACTTGATCTATGTCAACAGCCTCCTAACTGGTCTCCAAGTCACCAGCCTCTTCCTTACCCAGATCACCAGAGTTACCTTTTTTAACACAGACTGACAACTACACAAATGATGAAATGTTTGTAATGCAAATAGTAAGTGCTGTGAGTACTCACTGCTGTAAAGTTTCCCCATCGCTGCAGAATGAAGTCCAAACAAATTAGAGACACATGAGGTTTTTTGCAACATGTCTTATCTTCAACACTACCTCTACCATTCCCATCTCCCACCTTCCAGGGAAACAGAATCCTCATTATTGTGTCAGTACACTTTTACCCTTGCCTGTGACCAAAGTGTTTCTTCTAGTTTAGTTGCTATTCTTCATGTTGTTCCCCACAGGAGGTGTGGGACTCATTGTCATCCCCTGTCTGTAGCTTTCTCAGGCTCCACTCCTCTCCCAAGGCAGAATTAATTATTTTTTCATCTGTATTCCACAGTACTTTATACAAATATCAACTGTTCCATTTAGCACATTATGTTGCACTCATTTATATTTTTGTTCCTGCAATTGGACTTGAAATTTTTGAGAACAAAAATTGGGTCATTAAATTTTTAACTCCCCAGTACCTGACCCATAGGATGTATACCATCAATTTTAGTTGAATGCACTTGAACCAGAGGTCCTCTCTTTATTGAACCCAAACTGAAAGAACATAGGAAAAAAGAGTTCTTTGGAGCAAGCAATGTGGTCAACTCTGTCAGCATCATTTGATAGTAGTACGAGTCTTTTTTTCAGTGTAAAATTATAGTTATAATATTTCAGTTAATCTGAATACTTCTACTATCATAGAGTTTCAATGGGAAGAAGTATCTTCAAGGTGGTTCCTTTGATTTGCAGATGAGGAAACCAGTCCTGTGCTTATATCAGATTGGACAAGTAGTTTTTATCCAAATCCTATCCAATAACCAAAACCCTTTGTGAATTTATGAGTATTAAACCATTTTTACATTCCAGGCAAAAAATTCTGGGAGAACAAAATATACAGTGCATTTTAGTTCAGAGGGAATTCTGGTAAGGAATCTTAATCAGAATTTAAGATGTTAGGTTTGGCAGAAGCCAAGCAGCTTGATGAGAGATAATTGGTAAGATGAAGGAAGATTTTAATTTTTTAAAATGTTTAATTTATTTTTGAGAGAGAGAGAGAGAGAGAGAGAGAGAGAGAGACAGAATGTGAGTGGGGGAGGGGCAGAGAGAGGGGGGGACACAGAATTCAAAGCAGGCTCCAAGCTCCATCCACACTGTCAGCACAGAGCCCAACCTGGAGCTCGAACTGTGAGATCATGACCTGAGCTGAAGTCAGATGGTTAACCGATTAAGCCACCCAGGCACCCAGATCAAGGAGGATTTTAAATACAAGTGAAGCATTTTTCATCGTTTTCATGTCCTCTGCCTCCCTCCTGCCGAGATAATGTGAACTATCACGGCCATCAGAAGAATAGAGTGGGTTTTGATGAGTTCCTTTTCTTCAGGTTTAATTGACTTCTTCTCTTTAATAGGTTTCAGAATCTGCTGTGGTCCAGGAAGACATTTGTGGACAACATGAAAATCTATAACCACAGTTACATCTACATGCCTGCTTTTTCTATGAAAACAGGAACAGAGCCATCCCTCCGGGTTTATTATACACTGTCAGATGTTGGTGCCAATCAAACAGTGCTCTTTGCCAACCCCAACTTTCTGCGTAGCATTGGAAAGTTCTGGAAGAGTAGGGGAATACATGCCAAGCGCCTGTCCACAGGACTTTTTTTGGTGAGTGCAGCTCTGGGCCTCTGTGAAGAGGTAGCCATCTATGGTTTCTGGCCCTTCTCTGTGAATATGCATGAACAGCCCATCAGCCACCACTACTATGATAATGTCTTGCCCTTTTCTGGCTTCCATGCCATGCCAGAAGAATTTCTCCAGCTCTGGTATCTTCATAAAATTGGTGCACTGAGAATGCAGCTAGACCCATGTGAAGACACTCCACTCCAGCCCACTTCCTAGGGACCATGGGAAAAGAAAGAACTGAGCCAGGGTATTTTTGTTAGATTTTTTTACATGACTCCAAAAGGAAATGGTCAAGTCGTTTCATGGATTCACATGGGCCACTTGGAAAAACAAAACAAAACAAAACAAAACAACTACAAACCCCCAAGAGAAACTCTACTTTGATGATGGCTTGGAAGACAAACAAGAAATGAAACATCCTATGAAATATTTTGTAGCAGATTGTGGATTTGCAACTAGTAACACGCTGATGGAGTATGGAGTAATGTTGGTGAAACACATTTACATGGTTCTGATCTAGAAGGTGCAGTTCACAAACAAAACAGAACTCTAGCTGCTGAGGCTGAGCAATTAATCAAGGTAGAGTAAAGGAAATGCCAGGGCAAAGTGTTACTGATTATCAACACAATCTGGATTAAAAAAAACCTATCGTATATTATAGAACATAGGTTTTTAAAAAATTAATATTTATTTTTGCCCTATTGAGGGGCAGTGAGTGGGTGATGAGGTAGATTTAAAAAAAAAAAAACCTTACTGAGTAATAAAGATACGAAACACTACAGCTAATTATTGTGATTTGTTGAACCAAGTCTATGTTAACTTTAGTCTCCTTCCATTTAAAAAATGTTAAATAAGAATTGCTTCCTCTCCTTTTGTCAAATCTACTTAGACAATGTGAATGAAGCATTGTAGAATTTAGACTGTGTTGGTTCATAGTCTGGATAATGTGAGATACTTTCTCTCCTCAGAATTGAGGGCATAAACTCCATTTTAGGCCTGCATTATTTAAGCCTATTTGTATTATTATGTTATTTCAGTGCAAGAAGACTGCAAATATGAGTGCATTATTTATTTGCAAATTGGCATAATCGTCTTCCTAATTTAATGCTCAGAGATGAAGTAAAGCACAATGATGTAAGGTTTAGTCTGGAAACAGACTGGAGGGCACATCCCTTTTCTATCTACCATTGTATATTATTCACTCCAAGATACATGCAAACAAAACATGCATATATTTATGTACACACACACACATACACACAGGTAAACAAAGCTCATTCCCATACAAGTAGGAAAGCTGAACCCACATGACCTAGTATGGCAAAATATGTACCATTGTCAAAGAGCTACAAATGTATATTATGAACTACCCACCTCACCTTGATAAAAGACAGGCCGACTTACTGCTGCTTCTCATAGTGCTTACACCAGCGTCACCCCCAAATGCTTACCCCAAATGAGCAGAATTGTTTTACTCATTCTGACTCTCCCTAACATCTCATGAATGGACCTTGTGTTGAGGGTGGTGACACAAGGCATGATTCATACAAGTAAAGGGATGTGAATTTGTAGATGTTGATTCCCCTGGTAGTAGCAGGTAAGGCTACTCCGAAAGCTTTTTACATCAGCTTTCACACTGCAAACAAACTCTACTGACAGATTACAAGCAGCCAAATGTGTTTACGTGTAAGAGGAAGATAAAAGAGGCCTCTCGTTGTCTTTGTGTTTTGGAATGCCTTAATCTAAAGGGAGACACTAGAAATCACTCTTTTCATTCTTTTAAATGTCACCAGAATGTAAGCAAACTATGCCAAAAAGTTCTGCTTCATTTTTAATGGTAGAGACTTAGTATACCACATAAATTAAAACAGGTGACAGTTTTTGGTGGGTTAATTTAAAAGATACTGAGTCAATGAAGCCCTTGGAAAAATTCAACATCATTGGAATAGACAATTTCTAAATAAGAGTAAATATTGAGGTGGTTATAGAAATCAGCTGTTAAAAAATGACTGGTTGACATAACACAGATTATACTGATATTTGGAAAGTTAAGAATTTGAGAGTATTGATATCTTGTAGAACTGATTTCCTATTTTGATTCTATATTGCTGCAAAGAGGTAATGAGACTGTACTATGAGTGAGTTATAGTAAATATGCACTATATGTGAAACCCTAAACCTATTTCCTCTTTAGACCTATTATTATTTAATAATTACCGTAGAAAGGAATACATTTGTACCTATACACTTCATCAAAGGTAAAAGGGCTAATGAAAAACATATATGTCACACAAATTAGTACTTTAACTGATGAAATTGTTAAAATGTAATTAATGAGCTCCCTAAAACCCATACGTCACAGTTCCACTGAAACCGCTATTTGGAAATTTCACATCTTGTTATGATTTCTGGGATAGATTTATATAATATAGTGTGCAATTTTTAGTCTATACATTTGTGGCTTTGGAAAGGCAAACAGAAATGGCCTGAGATGATAATGTTTATTTAGACCAGTACTTCTCAACTGGGGTAATTCCCCTCCCCTATCTGGTGACATTTGGCAAGGTCTAGAAACATTTTTGATTGTCATGATTTAGAAGGTGCTACTGGCATCTACTGGACAGAGGCCAGGGATCCCACTAAACATTCTACAGTGCAGAGGTCAGCCCCCCACAGCAAAAATTACCCATTCTAGAACATTAATAGTGTCAATGTTGAAAATGCTGGATTAGACCAAAAGAATACTTTGACTGCCCCAACTTTTCTTCACTTAAGGATACATATACATGCTCACATCATTCAAAGTATGACTACCATTGAACGAGAATGTTTTCTTAGAGCAGATTGCAGTTGGCATTATTTTATACTGACAATGCATAGGTATGCCATCCATATTCCCTTTCTTGTGGTTAGATAGATGTATCTAAACTTAGAAGTGTGTGTGTGTGTGTGTGTGTGTGTGTGTGTGTGTGTGTATAGGGGCATTATAGCATAGGCTGTACATATCTGTCGTTCTTGAAATACATGTGTCCCTAAGTGAGGATCTCTCCAGAATTATCTTGCAGAAAGCCTGGAATACTCTATTACTATTAAGAAGTTGAATTCTAAGCACCTATTATTTTATCTGAAACTGAGAACTTCAGAATTGGACCTCATACTTTGCCAAATTTGGTCAATGACATTTTAATACTGCTGACCCTTAAGGTTAGCTTAGAAGATATTCAGGTTATAGTAGACACAGTCAGTAAGAAAATATTTCATCACTTTCAACGCATCTGCCAAAAGAGGGATTCAACCTCTCTAATCTTTAAATTGCTTTATATTGACGAAAACTAGGTTGCTCCATGGGGTCAAGAGAGGGGGTGAAGAGACTGAAAATGGGTACCTGATACGAGTTTTTAACTTTTATCAGCTCCAGTTTGAGAATTACACTGATGCTAAGGATCATGAGTAAGTGTGACCTCCATTTAATTTTAATCACACGTTAGCAAAATTAAGATGGGTGAAGGATTAAGTCATTCTCCAAGATAGAAAAGTGATTTTTATATGAAATATTTTTATATGGAAGAGGACAGTGGATACATATGCTTTATATAGAGTATTTGACCAACAGTTTATATAACATTGTGCATCTGAACTGCAACTAACACATGAAGTTAAGGAGTGCCCCTGGGATTTTGCTTCCATATGGTTCACTGTTATTTTAACAAGGTAGTATTCCAAAATGATACAAATGACCCCAAAAGGCAGATGTCCAGACAATACCTATTGGAGTTTTTGATGTCTCATGACCTTCTCTTGGCTACAAACTTTCTTTAGGATACATATAACTTATACCTGGAGCAATGGGCAACACAGTTTAACAATCTACATGGAAAATAATGGAAGAAATCCCAGGATTCTGAATTTGACAAAAATATTCTCAGTCAGAAGCTCTACAGAAGTGTTATAGACTATTCCAAATAGAAAAAAAAAATCAATGACGTTTCTTCTTGTTACCTACTATCATAGTTTTGTAATTTTATTATAGATAGCTTTCCATTTCTTTGTTTGAAAAATCAGCCATCTGTAATTTTAATTTTTATATTTAAAAATGTTGACTTTGTGAAAATTTTAACCGACAAATCCTTGTTAGGTGAGACCTAAAAGGTCACAGTCCGCCAAAAACTTTAGGGAATTCTTATTCCTATGAAAAATTTCCCACCAGAACCAGGTAATAATATCTGCTCTGTTTAGAGTTCCAGGGATCAAGAGCTGTAAAGACTTTTGTGAGAACTTGAGGGAAAATATGGGGAGGAGTAAGGACTGAGAGCAGTACTGTGCTTTTTATTTCTTCATCTTCCCAGGGTAGAGGCTGACTCTCAGACTCTGACTTTTAGTGAGCACGCATCAAGAAACAGCTACAAGACACCTGAAACTTAGATCAAGCCCCCAGCAAAGTGTGTAGTAACTATAACTAAACATGACCAGCAATTTTAGCAGTTTCAATCCACCGTGTGCCAGGGAGAGGATGAGGCAAGTGGAGAGGAGGAGACAACCCTACTCCCAAGCTTTCAGTACGTAAGTCAGAGAAGTCTCTGCCCTTGACCTTGGCTTTCCAGCACTATCTATTTCTGCTGACTACCAGGGAGGCTGGCTTGTCTCTGGGGTCAAGCTTGTAGTCTTGTGACTGGAGAATTGGTGTGGAAATTTGCTAAGATGCTTGAAATTTTACACTGCTGTAAACAGTTTTTTTTTCCTCTTAAACTTGTGCTTTCTAAATTTGGGTGTCCTGTGACAGAATTCTAGTCACCCTGACCTAATTATGGCCCTGTCAATGGTTATTAAAAATGGAGCTTTTTTTCCTCCATGCAGATGAATTTTCTAAGTTCTTGAAGCCAGGGAGATATCAAGTATAGCTGACCCTTGAATAACACAGGTGTGAACTGCATGGGTCTGCTTATACATGGATTTTTTCCAATATAGTACAGTACTGTAAATGTATTTTCCTTATGATTTTCTTAATATTTTCTTTTCTGTAGCTTACTTTATTGTAAGAAAACAGTATATCATGCAAATAACATAAAATATGTGTTAATCGACTGTTAATGTTGTTGGTAAGGCTTCTGGTCAATAATAGGCTATTAGTAGTTATGTTTTGGGGCAGTCAAAAGCTGTATGCAGGTTTTTGACTGCATGGCAGGGTTGGGACCCCCAATCCCACATTGTTCAGGGGTCAACTATTTTCCACCGGTTCTTGTATAGTTTCTTTAAAAGCCCTGGACACTGATCCAAAAGAATCCAGAAGCTTAGAATGTTTGTTTGCGACTCCTAACCATGAAGGCAGAATATTTAGGTTGAACACTATAAGAGTCCTATTTTGTAAGAAGAAAGACACTTAACATGAAGCTACAGTTGCTGTAGCCTTTTTCCTTCCTATCATAAGAAAATGGATACTACTGGCTTACCCTCAGCCAAGAATTTACCCTCATTCTCTTGCAGTTTTTACATACATTCTAGAGGTGAGGGATCGAAAGAGACGTGTGGAAGGAAGGCTCATTCAAACATAACACGGCCTCTGCTCATCATCACAATACAGAAGAAGTACATATTTCTGTTAAAGCCCATGGCTATAACTTTTTTAAAGCACAAGAGAGGAATTATATTTTATGGTCACTTGTTTGCCCACCTCCTGTGTATTCTTACTGATCCCTACATTGTGCTAAAATCCCTTCTAACTTTGCTTTTCTGTTAAAGCTGTAGGATATAATCAATGATGCAAAGCTGCCTGGGAGTTTTATAGAGTAATATTCAAATATATTGATCATGTCTCTTTCTGCTTCTACATAATTAGATTTTCTCCAGTTATTTGTCATTTTAAAAGTGCATGTGTCACATGATACCAGTAAACATCTAAGAAATGTGATTTTTATCCAGGGCAGAGAAATTGGGAGTCAGATGTGTCTGTTTTTCTCTGCATAGGAAGCGAAATGGAAAATTGTAATAAAGAAGGGTTTAACCAAAATGAAAAAGAGAAAGAGGAAATCAGGATTTTAATTGTGAAGGACCACTGACAGGGATCTTAGTGTGAAGCTACTGTAAGAAGCTCTGTAAGAGCACAGAGGCTGTTGTGCTTGAGCGCAGTCCCAAGAATAGAACCTTCCAAAACCTTTTAAAGGAAATATATTGTTATGCAGTAGTTATGGCTCATGATGAAAAGACTCTAGAAGAAGCAGTGTGAGAACCAGGTTGTGAGACACTTAGGGAAGAAGATGGAAGAGTGGCACCTGTTTACCTACTTGGACCCTTCTGCCCCTCTTCGAGTTACGCTTTCCTTGGTGTCTATGTTGGGATATACAAAGGCTGCCATTTTCATATCCCCTTTGACACATATGCAAGATTATTATTTAGGTCTCCTGTCATGATGAGGCAGCAATGGTAGGAAGTGAAGGTGACCCTTTGAAACATGGTCACCATATGCATGATGAGAGTTAGAAAGATTTAGATGCATTTTCTCCTCTCTGTTTTAGTGTAAACACACACACACACACACACACACACACACACACACATACACACACACACCTTGCATTATTTATGCCCATTGAAAAGAGAAAAATGTCTGGCTAGGTGGCAGAGGGTGCCTTAACTTTTTCTGCTTGGCTCCCACTTCCTTTTGTATTTCCTTCATGTACCTGTCTCTTTAGAGGTGTAGCCATGTCTGTTCCAAGTTGTATCTTTACCATCAGCAAGAACTCTTATAACTGTAGTGATTGTGACTATTTTATATAAATGCACAATAGTATATAGGCCTTGGAGATGTCTGATAACTGTATGTAAATATCTTTTGTTGAAGTAGTAGAACCTTCTCATAA